GTTCAGAGTCCTCCTAAAGACTTCAAGCTCCACCAATTTCTCCTAGGAGCAAAATTCACATATATCCTGAGTACTTGTTTATCCTTAGCCCTGAAACTCTCCCACAGGCACAGAGCCCAGAAGAAATAAGCCTGGAATGAAGAGAGACCAGGCTGGAGCCCCCAAAGAACTTAGCCAGAAGCCAGGTCACAGCTATATCTGAAGAACATCCAGCACTGGCTCTGAGACTGGGGAGGAAAAGAAAAAGCTAGGAGGTTCTGCAAACCTTCAGGCTCCCAGGCCCAGTGCTGGAACCTTGAAAACATTTCTGCTGAAAATGCCTTGGAAGCCAAAAGATTTGATAAAGCCTGAATCAGAGCAGATAAAAGGCAATTATGTTCTCACATCCTGGGCTTCTGCCACCCTGTGACTCCCTGGGGATGTACTTGTGGCATTTGGATGTTTCTCTCACAAAGACCTAGGGAGAGAGAAAAGCCACAGCCACTCAGCATCTAATAAACAATCCCCCATGTCACTGCTTCTGCTGGCCTCATTCTGACACTTCCCCCCTTCTGATTGTAGACAATAATTTTCCTCTAATTGCTTAGATAATCTTGCTCATGGTATTACAACAATGACAGAAAAAATGCTCTTCTTTATCATTGTTTGTTCTGAACATTGAATGAAGCTGAGTTTATGCCTTGGTTATACACGCAATTCTATTCTGAAGAGCAGGGCCTGCCCCTCCACTCTGCAGTCTTAAAAGGATAAAAATGGGGCGTGGCAGCATGTGTCTTGCTTCTCTGTTAGTCCTGAGAGCCACACCTGACCCCTGTGAAGCCAGTAATCAGTTCCTCCCCAAATAATGCACTGAAGTGGGGTCCGGTGTATCTGAGGGCCACCAGTCAGAAGTGGATGGAGAAGAAATACAGAAAGGCAGTGAGAGGATCCAGGTCCCCAGTGCTCTAACAAGAAGATGTCCCTGGAATTCAGCCCAGTCTTAATTTTATGTGCCCTTATCTATTTTTTAAATTTATTTTTTATTTTTTAAGATTTATTTATTTATTTATACAAGAACCGGGGTACAGTCCAGATGCGCGGGAGGGTGAGAGAATTCATAGACAGAGTGGGGAACAGAACAGGCAGACTGACGAAATACATGGCTGAGGGGAGCAGCGGGCCAAGCAGGAGAGGTCTGCTTCGCCATGTGGGATTTTCACCGCCAGCCGGCTGCCCGGCTGGGATCAAACTAGCGCTGCAGAGGCTGCAGACAGCTTCACAGCGCACGGCGCTCAACCGCCTGCACCACCAGGGGAGGCTCCCTCTTATGTGTTTTTCAAAGAAGATAATTGAATAGCAGAAAAATATTCAAATTGTTAACATAGTTAAATAACATCTATTAGACACCTCATATTAATAGCTTGGTGCTGGATGCTGCACAGTATTTAAGAACTTATTTCCTGCAACATGAGTACAGATTGTGCAAGGAAGTCACTCTATATGGAATATATGGAATGTGAGGAAGCGGTATTGAATTGGCTCTATCAACAGCATTGATTTTCAGAGCAGCAAATGGAGAGTGCTTGAGAGAAACACTTGAGTGTGATCTGGAGGTCAGACTTTGAGAGAAAAGTTCCTTAACTGACTACTTGGTTCATTTATCTAATTTACTGAGTATCTAGTAAGTGGCAAATACCAAATGAGGCACAGGCAGTTTTTAAAAGAATAAATCATTGTCCACAGATTTGAGGAGCTCACACCTGGGTGAGAATTAAAGGATGAATATAACATAGAGAGCTCAGCAGGGCATGGAGCGAGGGAGTATTAGGAAAGCATCAAGGAAAGGCTGATGAACTCAGTCTGTAGAGATGGGGCCAGATTTGACTGGGTCTGAAAGGGTAGGTAAATTTCTGAAAGGTTTGCTGAGAACATTTTAGGCCTGGAAGCTGGAAGAGCATGGAGTACTTAAAAGAATGTGAAGCAATTCTGTGTGGCTGAAGAACATCTGGAGGGAGATGTAGTGAGGGGCAACTGGAGAGAAGCTGGTGAGACTTCTGAAAGCAGTGAGTGTCCTGTGAGGAATGTGGGCTTTTATACCAAAGGTTTGAATTTGGGACAGGGCATGAAGAGATTCACTCTGACCAGTCTGGAGGGAACTGGATAGAAGGAGGGAAGTCAGGAAGCAGCATGATCAGTGGGAATGTGGGCAGAATTAATGAGGCTAGAGGAGAAACTTCCATAGAGCCATAGAGGATGGTACCTGTTCCACCCACATTTCTTTCTTTCATCTTTTCACTGCTTTCAGGTCACTACTTTATGCATATGTGTATGTGTATGTGTATGTGTATGTATATATGTGTATGTATATAATTTGATTTTTTTATCTGCTTACCTCAAACATTTCTCCATCTTTCTCTTAGATGCCAAGTTCTGTCCTCCAATTTCTATAAAATCAGTTTGCAAAGTAATTTTTGTCCTTGGTTGGGGTTGAGAAACTCCAGGGTACATGCTCAGATTAATGGATGGTTCCACCTCACAGACTGGACTCAACTGGAAGACTTGCCTTTATGATCTAAATGATTAATTTATGCTTTCTCGTTTTCAAGTTGATAAATCCTCATTGAAGGCTGGAGTAATCTGTGTAGGAACTTGCCTCTCTCTGCTTTCTCTGTAAAGGTGTTAATAACCCAGGAGTTGAGTCTTAGGCAACCTATAAACAATTTATTGGGCATCTGCTCTTGAAACATCACATTGTTATTCCAGGTTGTGTTCAATAGGGAATCTGAATATTGTTTAATGGTCAAAGGATTGTTCAGGCCGGGTGTTCATACCAACGAGTATGAACCAATGGCTGAACTTGGTTAACCCTGGCCTAATGGTGAATACCTGTCCCTCTCTGGAGTATTTCCCATTTGCTTGGAGTCACACTGATGACTTAGATTTAACATTCTCAGACTTCATGCATACAAAAGCTGCTTATGTGATAATTGTCATTGTTTTCAAATCAGTTCTGTGAAAGGTGATAAATGAAGGTGCTTTCTGGGTGGCCTTGAGGAGAGCTCTGTTCTGTGCCTGGACCATTCCCTATTTTCTTTATCTAAGGTGGTGATAATTCTGGGGTCAAGAGTCAGCCAATCTATGATCACAGTTTCTATGGACACCTACTGTTTACACCTATACAGTAGGTGTAAACAGTTATTCCAGGTTGAGTCCAAGATAGAGTCTAGACTCTGAGTCCCAGCCAAAGTCCCTTTTAGTCCCTTCCACTGCCAATGATGTTTGTTGCTGGCTTGGGACAGTTTGTCTATGTGCTGTTGTGAAAACTAATCTCTTAAAATCTTAGAAGTCTGATGCTTCTCAGTTATCTGAACCTTCAGCTCCCTCCTAATGCACAAAAAACAAGAGCAAGGCTAATCTCTGGAATGCTTTTCATATTATAAATCTCCAACATACTGAGGAGGCAACCCTCCCTTGGAGATAGCAAATCGATTTGCCTAAAAACAAACAAACAAAACATATATTTCTCTGAGTCTGTTTCCATTTCCAAAGGTAACACATTTTTAAGAAGAAAACAAAAGGACCAGAGACATTCTGCAGGGTGGGGGTGAGGGAGAGTGGGGGGGGTGGGGGGTAGGCCATTGAATCAAAACATGGGTAGGAAGAGCACAAGGGACTATGGTGATGGTGCACAGGTGAATGGGTGGTGGGAATTCCACAGGGACTACATCAGAGATGATAAAGCACACATTTTATAAAAATGAAAAATGATGTGAAAAATATATAAAATACTAATAAAAAAAGAAAAAAATTAAAAAAAACAAAACAAAAGGAAATAGGTTGATTCAGCACCTCCTTCCCTCTGATCTTAGGGAACTTACATTCTGCTTGGGGGCCTACAAAATCGGATAAACACCTTTAGAGGCCCTAACAAGAAAAGATATGGTCCCTCCTACCAACATAAAAATAAAAACAAATAACAAATTTACTGTGTAAAACGATTTACATATATTTTAAATCCTAAATTTTCTGATTGCAAAAGTTTGGATAAATAGAATTGAAGACAAGATTTTTTTCATGTTTTTGTGTCCTTGTTGGTTATTTAAGCATGCATGTGATCTGAGTACTTGTAATCTGGTTGGAGGTCATAACTATAGACATAAGACATAAGACTGTATACAATATTGTAAAGAAAAAAGGGACTGGTGATTCTCTGTCATTCAGGATTCTCAAAGCAGTAGGATATGTATTATGCACAAATATAGCATATACATATATATATATATAAAAGATATATACATGTCTGTATCTGTATCTATCTGTGTGGGGGGGTATGAGAGAGAGAGCGAGCAAGAGAGAGAGAGAGAGAGAGGAGAGAGAGAGAGAGAGAGATTTGTTTCAAGGAATTGCCTGATGTGATTATGGGGCCAGTAGCAAGTCTAAAATCGGTTAAGCAAGCCAGACACAGGTTGGAAACACTCAAGAGCTGATGTTACAGTCCATAAATGGAATTCTTCTTCAGAGAAACTTGTTTTTCTCTCAAAGTCTTTTAGCTGATTGCATGAGGACTAACCAAATTATCAAAGGTAATTTTTCACTTAAAATCAATTTAAGTATATGTTAAACATATTTACAAAAGACCTTCCAAGGACACCTAGATTAGTGTTTGAATTATGCGGCAATAGCCTGGCCAAGTGGGCACATCAAACTGACAGTATCCTACAAAGGATGTAGCCACGAGTAGGATGGATAATGAGAAGAAGGAATCCTAGTATGTTTGAGCTGAAAGGGACTTGGAAATCACCAGGTTTAATCTCTTCCATGCACAGAGAAGTGGCCTACAGTGCTTAGTTTGTACAAAATCTTGATAACTGATTTTTTTCAACCCAGAAATATATTTTACATGAGTGATTCAAAGAGATTGTTTCAGAGGCCCAGATATAAATTCTCTCTTGAAAAGGCCTGAACATTCATAACAGGTGTCCAAACAATATTTTGACTTCTTTTTATTATTTTTTTTTATAAGGGAGAGTGCAAATGCAGTTTTCCACTACCATAAATCATGCAGTCCCAAGTTTCCCTCATTTGGGGGAATTGTAAGGGTCAGCATATCCGGAGTATAAAGGATGAGCCTCACTCTGGGAACAAAACCTTTGTGATCATGTTATCTCCCCTGCCAGGTAAGTATCCAAATAATATTTTAAAATTGGGTCATATGGGTATTGTAACTGGGCCTGAGGCTCAGTCCTGGTCTTTGCAAACAGGGTGCAAGTTATCAATTTACTGATATGTCCCTAGAAGCTCCTTTAACTCATGGCATGTAACAGGTGTTCAACAGTATCAGTGGAACTCATAACTGAATGAACGAATGGGATTCAGGCTAGTTGGATGGACAATACCAGTACACCTCAGAGATATCTCAGGATTCATTCCAAATCAATTCCGTATAGCAAATATTAAATTGAGTCACATGAATATTTTTCCCAGTGCATAAAAAATCTATGTTCACACTATACTATAATCTATTAAATGTGCAATAGCAGCATGTGTAAAAAAGGCATGCACATATCTCAATTTAAAAATATTGTTTAAAAAATGCTAACTATCATCTGAGCCTTCAGCAAGTGATAATCTTTTTGCTGGTGGAAGATCCCATCTTGACAGTGATGTCTGCTGACTGATCAGGGTGATGGTTGTGGAAGGTTGGGTGGTAATAGCAATTTCTTAAAATAAGACAATAATTAAGTTTGCCAGATGGATGGATTCTTCCTTTCATGAGAAATTTCTCTTTAGCATGTGATGCTGTTTGATAACATTTTAACCCACATTAGAACTTCTTCCATAATTTTAATCAGTTTTCTCAACCCCAATGCTGCTTTATGTAACTGATTTTATATAATAGTCTAAATCCTTTATCATTTCAAGATTTTACCAGTATCTGCACCAACAGTAGATTCTGTCTCAAGAAATCTAATTTATTTGCTCAACCATAAGAAGCAACTCCTTATTTGTTAATGTTTACCATGAGATTATAGCAACTCAGTCACATATCTTTAGGGTGTTCCATGTCTAATTCTAGTTATTTTGCTATTTTCACGACAATTGCAGTTACATTTTCACTGAAGTCTTGAATCCCTCAAAGTCATCCATGTAGATTGGAATTTTGACTTCTTCCAAACTCTGGTTCATATTGATATTTTGGTCTCTTTCCATGAATATCTCAATATCATCTAGAATGGTAACTTTCCAGAAAGTTTTTGATTTACTTTGACCAGATTCATCAACTAAATCATTATCTATGGCAGCTAGAGTCTTATAAAATGTATTTCTTAAATAATAAGACTGGAAAGTCAAAATTACTCCTTGATCCATGGGCTGCAGAATGAATATTGCTTTAACAGACATGAAAACAATATTAATTTCCTTATGCATCTCCATCAGAGCTTTTAGATGACCAGGTGCTTTGTCAACCAGCAGTGATATTTGAAAAATCTTTTATTTCTTTGAGCAGAGGTATCAACAGTGTACTTGAAATATTCAGTTATAAATACATGTTGTAAACTGATATGCCATTGTCCAGACTTTGCTCCATTTATAGAGCTTAGGCAGTATAATTTTCAAGAGCCCCAGGATTTTCAGAATGGTAAATAAACATTGTCTTGAACAAAAGTCACCAGTTGCATTAGCCCCTAATAAGAGAGACAACCTGTTCTTTGAATCTTTGAAGCCAGGCATAGACTTCCCTCTAGGTAGGAAAGTCCCAAATGGTGTCTTTTTCCAATATAAGGCTGTTCTGTCTACAATGAAAATGTGTTGTTGAATGTAGCTACCTTTGTCAATGGCTTTAGCTAAATCGGTATAAGGTGCTGTACTATCTTGCATGTTCATGCTTGGAGATTGCTTCTTTCCCTAAATAAACCTCACCAGCCAACTCCTGCTAGCCTCAAACTTTTCTTTTGCAATTTTCTCACCTCTCTTAGCCTTAATAGCACTGAAGAGAGTTAGGCCCTTGCTCTGCATTAGGAGGGATTAGGGAATGTTATGGGTGGTTTGATTTTCTCTCCAGGACACTAAAACTTTCTTCATATCAGCAATAAGGGTGTTTTGCTTTCTTATTATTTGTGTATTCACTAGAATAGCACTTTTAATTTTCTTCAAGAATTTTTCCTTTGCATTCAAAACTTGGCTATTTGGCACAAGCAAACTAGCTTTTGGCTTATCTCAACTTTCAACATACCTAAGTTTAATCATTCCTGGCTTTTGATTTAAAGTGTGAGATGTGCAACTCTTTGTTTCATTTGAACACTCAGAGGCCTTTTTAGGGTTTTTAATTGGCATAGTTTCAATTTTCTTGTGTCTCGGGGAATAGGGAGGCTGAAGGAGAGTGACAGAGATGGAGAAACAGCCAGTCAGTGGAGCAATCAGAACATACTGGCATGAACTCACAAGGCATGGTTCGTGGAGTGCTGGAATAATTACAATAGTAACATCAAAGACCACAGATTATAGATCACCATGACAGATATAAAGTTAATGAAAAAGTTTGAAATATTGTCTGAAATTCCCGACATGTGACACAGAGACATGAAGTGAGCACATGCATTTGGAAAAAAATAGCATGGAAAGACTTGCTCAAAGCAGGGTTTCTACAAATAAACAATTTGTGAAAAATACAGTATTTCTGAAGCACAAAAAAATATTGCACAATTAAAGAAGGTATGCTGGTAGTCTGATTCCATGCATAGGAATGCAGACACATAAAAATTATTCTAAGTATGAAATATGGTGTTTTCTGAGTTTCCTCATCAGTCCAAAGGAGACAGTAGTATATTGCCTCTGTGATAGCTGTGTTCTAAGGATTTTATAGATGATAGATGATTATAGATAGATAACATTTATTATACACTTGGCATATAGTAGTTCAATCATGGTAGTGATTACTGTAATTAACATTATTTCACATTTTCCAACTCTGGTTGGTGCCCTGCCCAGACCACTTTTACCAGTCACCCATCTCCCAGCTCTGGGTGTTGAGTGCCAATGGCTCACAACTGCCTGTTCTCTAGAAAACTACCCTCTACCGAAATAAGAATTGTGTCCACTAAGTGGTTATGTTTCCCTGCTCCTGAGAGGTAGCCCACAGCCAACGACTCACTCCTATACAGAGACAAAGAGTTAACCTCCTTGCCTTTAGATGGGACCAATCAATCCCAAGACTTTTGGTGAGCAAACTGCAGCTAGTCTCTGGCTGAGCAGTCATACTGACATTTTCCACGATCTTATTCTGTTCGCCTCATTCCCTTTCTCCTGCCCTCAATACATCACTTAGGTAAGAGTTCTTGCCTCATGCTCTCCTTTCAGGGACCCAGCTTAAGACACAGTGACTTGGAGAGCGCTCCCTTCTTTGCCTGTGTAATAATGAGACATTTAGTTCATTTTGATTCTGCTATTCATATCCCTGGTGAGTCTGCCACATGATGTTCCCAGCCAGAAAAGGAAAATGGACTTGCATCTGCAGCTGGCACCTGGCTCAGCCATGTCAGACCTCTGTAATCAGAGAGGGGGGTGCAATGAGTTTTCTTTATCTTGCAGTTTGCCCAATTCTTCCTGGCCAAGTCTAACCTATTCAATTAGCCTGGTATATTCTTTAACCACATAATACCACTTTCAACCACCAACGCTTGAATTCCAAGGAGAACATTCACTCACTCATCCATATGTCCATCGTCCATCCATCCAACCATTACAGAACATTGTCCATATAAGGAGCTACTGTGTTAGGTACTTGAGATGTGCCTATAAACATAGATAAAACATAGTATCTACCCTTCAGGAACTCACAGTCTGGAGGGAGAAATGGGTGACTGGGTAGTTGCAATGGGGTTTATGGTCTGTGTTATATTATGATGATGCAGGAACACAGAGGAAAGGCTCCTACATTAGGCTAAAAATTTGAAATGGCTTGGGTTTCATTGCAGTTGACTTAAACAGAAATAGATAGAATGGATACCCTCTAGCACACTGCAGACCAGAGCAATTACTTCAAAGAATAAGGTGTTATAATGTGGAAAAATGTGTAGTTTTAAGCACAAGGAGTGGTTGCCTGGTGATGGACAGAAGAAAGAGATAAATGCAAAGGACTCTGCCTGCTGTGTTATTACTGCTGTAGCTTTTCTCCCACTCAAAGCCTAATTTTTGGGTGCCCAAAGAAAGGGCAGAATATGTTTCTGCCTGGGGATTGACTAGATTGGTGGCTATCAAAACGGCATTTTCCCATTGTCTTTCCACCTGACAGTATGGTTCATTCCCCACAGACATAGTCAGGATGCAAGGTCCTGCCTACATGGCTGCCTTATTGTTGCTAATTCCTCCCATGCTATTCATCCATCTACTTCTACCAGACACCAGGAGGTTATAGCGTAACTCTGAGGTTAGGAATGTTAATTGTTCTATGTTGATATTAGTATGATGGGTGTTAATGGGAAAATAATTACTACTCTGTGCCTTTATGGCCATTTTCATTGCCCTCTGGTGGTTATGTAGTTATTTGGCTAGAGACAATAATGACACAATACATGGCAGCTATTACTGCTTCATCTATACAGTTGAGGGGGGTGTCAGAAAGGAGGTGTTTGGAAGAGACTAGGAGTTGATAAATACTTTATTTTTCTTGAGATATTTTTCTTTGCAAGGAGTTCTCTCTGGCTATAAAAATGTAAAATCCTAAAATTACCGGTGGTTTGGGAAGTCAAGATTTTATTATACAGATAGGCTGGAGGGCATGTTTTCTTGTATGCACTGTCAACTCTGTTGGTGGCTAAGTGCTGAGGTCTGAAAGATAGGAAGTGCCTCTGGTCTCTCTAAATGCCTCCTGCCATTTGGTTTCCTGAGTCGTATGCCTTGGAGTCCATCTAGATTCTGCTACCTCTTTAATTCTCCTGTGCTCACCTCCAGGCATTCTCAAAGCCCATCGATTATACCTCCCCTCCTGGTAGGGGGCATGCACATCTACCTCTTCATGAACTATTGATTCACAACTACTGTCTTACTGGTTTTTTACCTCTTTTCTCAACTATTCTAATCCATCAGTCATGTCAATTCCTTATTCAAAATTCTCACTGGCTACACAATAAAATAAAAATTTTTCAAAATACTTCAAGACCTTACCCTTGTCCACCTTTCTAATTT